AGTGAAACACGAATGTTACTTCACACCCTGAGAATAGCACGTTTTTCCTTTTTTAGATAAAACACGTACACTTCCGTGCAGGGAGGAGAACTTGCAAACTGGGCACTAGCAAGGCTTGCACAATATAGGTTAAACCCTTCTCCCCTGGAGTTTCCAGCTCTACTCACCACTTCTACCTGAACATGTGCTGGCTAAAATATTTTCATTGATGGCAAACTAGCTCAGTTTGTTTGTGATCCTGTGCACTGTGTCACAAGGGGCATCAAGTCATATCCTAAAAAGCAAGTATGCAAATGCAGGGGGATAAAGCAGTATTTAGGAAGATCTAGTATTTAGGAACATCTCTGCAAAACATCACAGAGAAACACCTGAGCTGAAAACCAGCCAAACTGAACAGGGACACAGTGCTGTACAAAATATCCTCCCTTAGAGCTAGCTGAGCTGCCAACCTGAAGTACACTGAAGGCATAGCTCTATCAGCACCTGCCTGTGCTCAAGCCAAGTAAAGAAAGATAAGGCATAAAGCGCAACAACCTGGCTGGGAACAAGGGAGTTTCCGCTGCTCTGAAGAGCCCCCGGGCTCCCCTAAACTCGGGGAAGACACCCCGTTTCCCCCTTCCCCAGCAGCGAGAACAGAGGCGAGCAGAGCCGCGCAGCAGCATCGTCCCGCAGGCGGGAGCGGGTACTGAGTAGCGACAGGACGCGACTCTCCGCTACGCCCCCACTTACCGGCACCAACGGGCGAGACAGCCCGCTCACAGAACGGGCTTCGCGGGGGGCAGAGAAACCCCGTCGCTCCCCCGGCTCCCGGGACAAGAGGCCGCAGCACCTACCTGGAGCCGCCATGGTCTGGGACTCGCGAGGAAGGCGCCGCTCCGTTCCCCTCACATCACCGCCGGAACGGCGAGTCCCCCCCACAGACGGTCACTTCCTCGACCCCGGCCGGGTGCTGCACCGGGCTCCGCCTCCCGCGGCCAGGGAGGGCACCCGGCAGCCACGGCGGCCCGCGACGCCCCCTGCAGAGCTGGGCAGAGGGCGGCTCCGGGCCGGCCCAGCCAAAGCCAGCGGTGCATGCCTCTTCCAGACAGGTACACAGCGGGAGCCTCCTGCCACTGGAGGGAAATTCCAGCTGGCTCCAATCACACATTCCATGGCTGGCCGAGCAAACAGCGCTACAGCGAGGAATGTTTATGTATTATGGTGATACAGAAACTCCTTATCGTTAGTCACAAGACACTTAGAGCAATAGTTGTGGAAGAGAACAAGCAAGACCTGATCCATGTACACCCCTAAAGTTGGCTTTGAATTCTGCCTCCTATGAGTAAGGAGGTTTATGTTTTCCTAGGGGAAAACAAATAGTTCCATGTAGAATGATGCATCTTGATGTTCTGTATTTCCCTCTAGAAGATGCTGTCTTTTAACTTAAGATTTACCTGACTCTGTATGACCATGCTCATGTCTGAGTACAGGGAAAACAAGCAGTGAAAGGACACTGTTGAAGTTCAGAGAGTAAGATTCAATTTAATTTTGTTGCTAGAAACAAGCAACAGATTCTGCCTAAATAATTGCATGATCCTTTGCAAACTTGCACTGATTTGTGTTCAGAAACACATCTTTGGTAAGAACTAGTAGTCTTTTCTTGCTGCACTTCAGCAAAACAAAAGCAGATACCTTACAAGCCAGATTCCCAAACAATCATTCCCCAAGCAGTCAGAGGACATTGTGCTTGCAGCTTATTTAATGTCACAAACACTAATGTTGAAACAGAGCTGGTTACAAACACTAATGAACCAACTCTTTCCTACTAATCAACTCTGACTTAAAAGTTGGTCAAACTCTCCTGTGACCTCCAAATCTTTTTTATCCCAAACCTACTTGGAGCTTACAAACTGTGTGCCACAGCCTGCCTTCCAGAAGCAGAGTGTTTGCTCCCACAGTAAGAAAGTACTAGCAGTACTTTCCCATCTGAATCACCCTCAAAACACACAATAGAATAAAGAACACCTGGGAACCGGGGAAGGGTGCAAATACAGAATCTGCTTGGGATTTGTGTGAGGGACAAAAATTTACTAGTTTCAAACTACAGTCTCTAGCCAAATTCTTTTACTATTATGGAATAATACACATGTACTAAGAACTAGTAAAGCAGGTGGATAACCATGGATATACGGCTTTATAATGATTGTTCTACATTATTTCCCACATAAACTTGCTTATCTTCTAACTTTCAGAAGAAAATGTTAAAACCAAAATAATCTCTCTGATGTTAGATGAGGATTTCAACGTGCTCTTTGGAACTAGCTTTTAAATTCTTTTGCTCTTTAAAGCCTTAGAGGGCTAGCAGAGTCAGCTTCCTGCTTTGTGGGAACCCATGGGGCTTCTCGTATGGATTAGTGTCAGTTATGGTGCTATGTATTTTATTTAATCAATACAAAGCCAACAGGAAACTAAAGTGAAATTAATGAGCCTTCCCAAAGGAGCCTAGGTAAAATAACTGCTAGGCTGTTGTTTCAGCTTAGGTGGAGGTTGTTCACAGCAACCTCCACCAAAGAACTCAGATGACAAAGTGACGCAAAAGCACCTTCACGTTGGCCTAAGGGAAGGAAGAGTCACAGAGTTTGTAATGAGTTAAGAACAAAATGAAGAAACAGAGAGCTCTTCATCCACACTTGCCCAAAGCTGACTGTCTCCCGAGTCTGACCATTCCTTCCTTCAATTCACTGCAGCATGGGAACACCATTGCATTTGCAGCATTATTCTCAAGGATCTGTTTTATCCCTGTCCAAAGAAAAGGGCAAGGTTTGCTCTTCCTGGAGCCATTGGGGTTTTTTGCTAGGTATTTTTTGAGGGGTAACATGGAAGGGACTCAGTAACTGCTTGAATACCCGTGCCATCTTTTCACATCTTGGCCAGAGTGTGACAGAGACCTCTCATGAGAATGCTCTCTTCTGAGGTGAATAGCTCTCCCTGCAGTCCTAACAAAAGAGATGCCAGCCAAGGGGAAGGGCTGAAGACCTATGAGGAGCATGTGATGGGAGGAAGTAGTATGCTACAAGCAGCAGCAGGATCTCCCACTACTCCTTTGGGGAATGTAAGAACAAAATAGCTTTCTTTGCATGGTTACTGCCCAGCCAGGTCACCTGGACAACTGCAGGTACAACACAGCAAATGCAGCTAAACAGCTCCAAAGAGAAGCAGTCACAGTGCACGTGGGAACAGACCTCACTGGCAAAGGCCTGGCAGGAGAGGGAAATACTAGCCAGGCAAGAAGCAAAGCAAACCAGAAACACACTCATTCTCCTTGTTCCTCATAGCAGTTAATTCAGACAGCAGAACTTAAAATAAGGACAGTTTATCAGCAATAGCTACATCTCTTCCTTTCTCAGGCAAAAGAGCAGATCTTGTGCTGAGCTTTGCAGATAAAGCTTCCAGCTGTAGCTTACTGTGGATGGAAGCTACAAAAACTGAGAGGAGAATTGGCTCCTGGAAACAGCTTCCTTTCTGCAACACAAGCAAGTTATCCCATATACAACAGGGGCAGGCCAGATCGGGGCTATCTGAAAACTAAGTACCCATCCATAATAACCCCTCAGTTTAATGTCCCTTTTCTACGCTACAGGCAGCAGCACTTGCACGAAGCGTCAGTATCTTACAGCACAATCCTCCACTATATGAGCTGCTTTTCATTTCCTCAGCAGTACACACACAGCACCTTGCAGACACCACCAACAGGGGTGCTCTGCTGCGCACACAGCCTGCCCGAGCATTTAGCAGGCACTACCCAACTGCACACGAGGGACAGAACCCACACGCACGGCACAGCAGCATCTAGAGGTGATCAGAAGCAGAGGGCTAGGTATGGGAAATGTGAAAGGCGTAACACTACCTACCTACTTGCACTACTACTACTACTGCTGCTTGATTAACCTTGGCAGCCCTAACTCAGGACTTTCTAAGTGTGACTTTCTTCTTCCTTTACACTCAGCAGGATTTACAGTACACTCAATTGAAAGGAGCAGTAAAAAAAATTTAAAGCCCCATCATAAAGGCAGGAACAGAGCACTACATCCATCAGAGCAACTGTTAATTTCACAGAAGAAAAAACTCCAGTGGAAAAATGACTAATTTAAAGCTACAGCAATATACAACAGCTGAACAAAGTCTCCTTATCAGGAGAGATGAGAACTCTAACAGGCCGTTTGTCCTGATCAGCCTCACCTGGGGCTTCGACACCTACCCTTTGTCCATAGGCTCAAGAGCTCAATTTAAGCCCAGGCTTGGACATTCAGTACATGCTTATCCTAATTAATAAGTGTGTCTGTTTTAAGTCTTCTCTCCAGCCTTACTTTCTTGATACTCCTTAAACCTATGTTGTAAGTAATCTTATTCCTAATTTTCTCTCTGGCTTCATCTTACATGGCTCACCTTTCCTGGGACTGATTAATTTTGTCAACACCTAGTTCTACTTGCCGTGTTCAAGCTACGTAGTAGTGCACTCTATCGGTGAAGCCACTACCAGGACTGAGATAGTCCGCAGCTACTGGTTTGTTATCCTCCACGCAGCACCCTCGTTCCTTCGGCTGTCTACCGTTCTCCTTTCCGTGACCATATTTAAAATGGATTACAGCCAAGAGTAGACTGATGGGGGGACGGGGTTTAAGTGAAGTGGAGCCTTCCATCTTCCAATGCCACATGCACAGTACAAGTTTCATTGCAGAGATGTTCCGGGTTCCTACCGCCTCCTCCCCTCCTAAGCCTGCCTCTGCCCCACAAGCAGCCTTCCCGCTCTGGTCGATGCCTTCAGGCAGACGTAATCAGAGCCACTGAACGGGACCTAACTCCTTTCTCACCAGGAAAACACTTACGACTCACTCGCCCGTCACACCCACACCTCCAGCCTGCCAAGCGCTTAGGACCCCGCTGCCCCCTCACAGCCCGGCCAACATGGCGGTGAAGGCGGAGCCGGAAAGGCGCTCCCGCGCCCGCCTGTACGTACGTACGTGGCGCTGCTCGCGCGTGCGCGCGGACGGCACGTGTCGGCGGGGCAGCATGGCGGAGTGGCGCGCGGTGCCCAGCGACCTCTTCCCTTTCGTGCTCTCCTTCTTGCGCGAGAACCGCTTCGAGGGCGCCGCGCGCGCCTTCGCTAAGGAGGCTGCGGCGGTGAGCGGCGGGGTGAGGCTGAGGGGAGGGGAGGGAGCGGGAGGGAGCGAGCGCGGCCCAGTGGCTGACCGACTGACACGTCTTCTCTCGTGGTTTAGAAGGAGCAAGACCCCAACGCAGCCTCCCTCCTGGATATCTATAGTTACTGGCTGAAGTAAGTGTCCCTCCGGCCGCGGGGGCCAAGCTTACCGGGGTGGGGGTTTAGAGGCCGCGGGCATGCTCTGCCATGCTGCCGGTCTCGCACCGGCGCCAACCGCTCTCCGGCCCTTGGATTTCCTCGCTGTAGGTCTCCGGCGGCCAAGAAGAGAAAGGCTGTTCCCAACGGTTCCCAGGCGAAGAGGAAGCCGTCCTCCAGCAGCGATGACAGCTCCAGCGAGGAGGATGAGAAGCCCCCAGCCAAGAAACCAGGTGGGGTTTGTGAGAGGCCCTAGGGCAGGCCAGGGTTGTGTTTGGCATTGGATCCTCATCGGGATATAGAGCTCGGCTTGAGCAGCTCATTTGAGGTGCTTCAACAGCTATCAAGGACTAGGTTTTCATTGATTTATCACAGGCAAAAGACTTGCAAGAGACATGTGAGGTACATTCATCCTAGCTGAGGAAGATCTCTTTATCCAGTTTTAAGATAAGCACATCAAGGTTTGTGTGCGCTAGGAAGTTTTAGCCATTCAGTTCGTCTCTTTTGGCTGAGACTGGTAGAGACATTGGGCCATATTGAGTTTTGTAGGTGCCATAAAAGTAGCATTATTATTACCTTGTCTCTATTGAGATTCTGCTTCCCAAAAATTCACTAATAAGATGTCTTGGCAGGGTTACTCCAACTTGCTTCAGCACGTTCAAATCGTGCGTCAATTTAAATATTGAGCAAAACTTTTCTAAGTGTCTGTAGCTTGGACTGGTACTCTCCACATGATCCTCCACCCACCCCACCCTGTGCTATTTTCTAGGGATTCTCAGTTTCACTGGGAGCTTTAAAGGATGATTTCTTATCTTGTTATTTCAGGAAAACCAGTTCAGGCTTTTTAAATGCTTTCGCATCTATTTAAATACGCATAATTTGACAAAATTCCCGCATGGCTGAGATTTATCAGGACCTTCTGTATTGGTGGGCACTGTGACCTGTTTGATACAGCGTAGTGATATCTTTTACTTCCAGAGAAACGCTGAGTATCCCACCTGCTGCTTATGTGAGGTTACTGCCCTCCTTTCTCTCAAGCCTGTGTCCTAGTGTTATCAAAAAATATGTCCTTCCACTGCACTTTGTTATGTGGCGAGCCATATTTTTTCCCTTTTTATCTGGAATTGTTCTTATGCCTTACCTGAATCATGGTGTACACTTCACTTGAGGCAAAACGATTTCTTTTGTCCCATGTTAATAAAAGCAGTCAGTAACCAGAAGGGAGTAGATTTGGCTAAAACTGAAGAAACCAAGTCACTGTTAAGAGCTTCATTCATGGTTTAATTATCTTAGCATATCCTTTTGCCCTGATACACACGAGTGCAGGATATGGGTGCAGGAAAGTCGTGAATTAACTTATTATCAATGTGTGCTTTCCCTTATTTGCAGCTAAAGCAGCAGCTGTGCCCAAGGCAAAAGCAGTTCCTCCAGCCAAGAAGTCAGAGAGCAGCAGTGAGGACTCCAGTGATGATTCAGACTCAGAGGAAGAGAAGCCAGCAAAGGTCAGCTTTTCTTTCCAGCCTCTTTCACGCATATTTGACAGTGATAGATAATGGCAAATTTGACCAGCAGAGTTCTCTCTGAAACTGGGCTCACTTCAACTAGGCTAGAAGCCTAGGCTTCTGCAGGTACAACGTAAGAAGACATTTCTGTACTGGATGGTGTGCCATTTGAACTGATGCTATGGAAGATGATTTAATGTCCAGCACCCACTTTGATTCATATCCTGCTCCCTGCTTTTATCCTCAGACTGCCAGGGCTTACTTTTTTTTTTCTTTTTTTTTTCTGGGAGAAATATTTATTTACAGTCACAAAAAAAAGTTTTTACCTTTTTTTTTTTTTATATGGGTGCCTATATAAAAAGCAAACCTTCTCTTGCTGCAGTCAAGGTCTTGAGAAGCATTGGGGTGGGAAGAATGATGCCAGTGTATGCTAGAGGAGACCATCCAGAGTTGCCCAGTCAGTGTCTTCTGTCTTCAAATGAGCTTGGTCTGGAGATGGAAGAGAACAGTGCCAGCCCCAGAGCTGCGCCATTTATGGAAGCAGAACACAACTGGAGTCTGAGGTGCAAAGGAAGTCTCCCATGGGCTGCTGGGAGGTTTTCAAGAGCAGAATTGTTATCCAGAGATTTTCAGGCCCTAACCATTAGGCAGAGTAGCATTTCCAAGTCAAAATTATAATATCTTTCAAAGACAGCTGTTTATATTATCTGTACATGTGTTCCACTTATTAAGCTCTTTTTCACTATTTCATGGCTACAAGGGCTAATAACCTTTCCCTCTTGATGTTTAGAAAAGTGCAAAACCTGTGGTGGAGCCAGCTGGTACCAAAATCCCGCCTCGGAAGAAAGCAGAGAGTTCCAGCTCTGACTCAAGCAGCTCAGATGAAGAAGCACCAAAGAAACAGCCACCAAAACCAGCAGCACCTAAATCAGGTATGTCTTATTGTGTATCATGAGTCGAAGTGCAAAACCAAAAAAGCCAGGGCAGGATATAGGCTGGTGTGGGCTGTAGCTACGTACAAAGGCACATGTGTTAACAGCAGTCTGACAATCTGCTGACACTGCCATTTGCGCTCCATTCCAGTCTGCTTCTGATATGGAATAGGAGTAGAACTGACTGCAAATAAAACATCTGGTCCCAGATGCTGCATTGTTTGCATAAGCAGTTGTAATCAGTAATCCTAATGCTTTCTCTAAGCTTGCACTAGGTTAAAACAATGGCTTTGCAGTACTTTCTTAATCTGCCCTACTGGCTTCCTGTGATTTGTTTCTCTCTGTGGTACTTTATGCTGAGTATAATTACCCCTTATCTGCTGTAGCATATTTTCTAATGTCCCTTTTTGCTTATCTCAAAAGGAAGTAAAGTTGCCCAGGCAGCCACCAAGGTGGTCAATGGAAAGGCAGCAAGCAGTAGCAGTAGTAGTGAAGATTCTGATGAGGAAGAAACTGCACCAAAAAAGGTAAATTAGGCTGTCAAAAGCTTTGTGAACCCTGTAGAAGTCTAGTAAGACGGAGTTTATCTGTCCCACAGGGCCTGCAAAGTTTGTAGACAAAGGCACAGATGACACAGATGCTGAGCACAGCGTTTGTGGTTCTTGTACCTTCTCCCTTATAGAGTAGGATTATGTATTCTAGCACCTCTTTGTGCATTTGCTGTCTTCCCTAATACCTCCTTACCACTTCCTCTGCTCCTTCCTTTTACATGAAAATATATCACTGTGTCATAACCATATTGTAATCTTTATTATATGTTCACTTTTGCATGTTCTTTTGTGCTTAGCTATTTGTAATTTTGAGTTTTCCACTAGGGAGTTTAAAAATGTTTTCTGCAACACAAAAATAATCAGAGTTGTATTTAATCAGCTATCATGTAATTGCTATCATTTCAGCTAGTTCTGTGCCCCTTGATCAGAAGAGCTCCTCCTTAGGGATGCACGCAACAGAAACAGGAGCAGAGTGGCCAGAAAGATGATGCTCATATATTTCTTAAAATTTACATTCGAGAATTTTCATTAATCTTTCTCACTTTGTCTTCAAAATTTGCTGTCTTACATGGGATATAGAGTTAAACAAGATCCACATCCAGCTCTTCCCACAAGACTTCTGTAACTTATTATTTAATGTGAATTTCTTTTCTTCCTGTGATAAGGCTGTTCCCAAGAAATCGCCTCTGCCAAAACCCGCAGCCACTCAAGCATGTCCAGGAAAAAACAAACGTGCCAAAGAAAGTTCTAGTAGCGAGGACTCATCTGACAGTTCAGATGATGAAAAGCCACCTGCAAAACAAAAGCCGAAGCCTGGTAAGTACTAAATACTGTTGCTGCTACGTGGGAGGAGGATTCTTTCTGCTAGTCCCACTGTTTTGAGAGAAGCATGTGCAGGGCACAGGCAACTGTTGCTGCACACAAGGTTCCAGGTGATGGTGGTACCATGAACCAGAAATACAGTAGCTCTCTTCATGTGTGCTGTTGAGGCTAAGCTTACAATTCAGCTCCTCCCTCAGCAAGGCATGGGGTGCGAGAGGTTGTGACAGATGCTGCTTGGTTTGCATGTCTTCAATGCAAGTAGCCTTTAAGTACATTCTTGCAGGTTTCCTGACTGCTAGGATTTGGGAAGTAATTTGCCAGTGGTTTTGTTATTCTGCAGCTGAAGCAATTCAAGCATTTTTAAGGCTTTGAGAGTTTGGGTGGGTGGGGTCCCCCTTTTTTCTTTTTTTTGGTGAAGTACCCAGGGCTACTCAGTTGCAGTCCAACTGACGGGCTAAATGGGCCTTTTCAGTACAGTGCTTTTAAGATTCCAGTAGAGAGATGATCTGTGTGGAGGATCACACACTGAAACTGAGTCTGGTCTCTTAACTAGAGGGTTTGAGAAGGCAGTAGAGGAAAACAGTCAACAATTGATACCTCTATTTGTTGGGGTTTTTGAAAAGTTTTGGCAACACAAACTCCCATTATAAAAGTGCAGAAGAAACTTCTGCAGAAGTGGTTGGGTCAGTGAACGCCAAGAGGAGAGTTAAGTTCACAGTAGAGACAGGAAGTAGCAGTAGAGTGTGTGTAACCTTTCAAATAAACAGTGAATAAATGGAGCCAAATAGCAGAAGTGCTTTGTTCTCACTACAACAAATCTCTTGTGCTACTCACGTTATTATGCAGGCATCTGAATGCTGTGTCTATCTTCATAGGTCCATACAGTGCTGTACCACCTCCTCAGGCTACACAGACCAAGAAAGGCCTTGCCAAGGTTCCTGTGAAAAAGGCTGAGAGCAGTGACTCTTCAGACAGTAGTGATGAGGCAGAGCAGGTGACCCCAAAGGGTGGAGCAGGTATGTTGTGAGGACAGGACTCTGCAGAGGAAGTACTACATGGTGCAGACAATGTTTTGAATATGTCTTGGTTTCCTTGAAAAAGCCGTTTGACTTTAGTCTGTGTTGCCATTTGCTTCTCTGGAAACTTCTGAATAATTTGAAGGCATTCCAAAAAACATTGGATACGATCTGTGGATCCAAACTATGTGCAGGTTGGAGTACTTTGCGCATGTTGAAAAGTCATCAGGATCTGGTTTAAGCCAGGCCTGTTACTGCAGCTGACAAGGTACTTGCTTGGCTTCCAGTGTGCTGGCTGAATGACTGGTGCACTGAGGATGGTGCATCTGGAAAAATTTGGATCTTGGGGCAAAGGTTTAATGTGGATGTGGCCTTTTAATTTTGAGCTTACTTTTGCAGGCAAAGCAGTAGTAGCCAAAAAAACACCTGTCTCACAAAAAAAAGCTGTGACTACTAAGAAGGATGAATCCAGTTCTGACAGTGACTCAGGTAATTCAGTACATAGTTTTGGGGTTTTTGTGCTAATGGTTTTATTGGCTAGGTTGCTGTATAACGGTGTACCTACTAAGATCCTTAGTATCGAAGCTCAAAAGCTTCACAGTCTCCATATCTTAACAAGAATGTGAAGTTGGAAAACAGCAGTGTACTACGCAAAGTGAAGCCTGACCATGAGACGCCATTGTGAGACCAATTGGCAAGTGCAGGAAGGTCTGTATATTGCTAGATTGACGGGGGGGGGCATCATGTGTATCAGGTTTCTCCAGGAAGGTTAATGCTTATATTTTTTGAGGATCTGAGTCTTCAAGATTTTTGGTTTCTGTTGTCCCATTGTGTTTGGGAGAAGTTTCTGAAATGAAAAACGTCATTGCCATACCAAGTTCAAAATAGACTCGTTCGAAATAGACTCAAAAGATGCCTTCTCTTAATGTGACTGCGGAAATGGGGACAATGTACTTTGTATCCTCTGTTCATCAGGTTTAACTTTGCACTGCTGCATTTCCTATACAAGTTCCCTATGTGCTTGCTGCATCTCTCCTCCAAGTTCAGGGTGCTTCAGTTGTGTATCTCAACATTGCTAGTGCCACATCAGGGACTGTAGGTGGCAGCAGCCTGTCTGTCTGCAGAAAGCTAGCATTTAGAATGGGTGTCTTCCCATATTCTAGCGCTTCCAACAAGTGACAGCAGTTACGTGTTTTCTGGTTTTGTCACCTAGTTTTTCAAAACCATACAAGGTTTTGATTACTGTTGTTAGTGTTCATAAATGTTGGAATAGATCAGGCTTAGCATTCCAGATTCCTGTGACACACAATACAAAGGCATATTTCTATGCAGGAGTCTCCAATCCATCCTCAGACTGCTGCTAAACATTTAATACAGGAAATAGAAAGCTTAAGTGAGATACTGAAGTGTTGCTGCGTCAGTTTCCCTGCTTTGTCAGTTTTATCTCCTTGTTTGTTGCCTGTTCTTTGATCTGTACCACCTAGCTTCTTTTCTTGGTTTCTTCTTCCTGAGTTTGTTCCTCGTGATACCTGTACTTTCTCCAGTCCCTTCTTCTGTACGTCTTTGACCTTATTCTCCAAATATGTGCTTCCTTGTGTATGCATTAGTGAAAAACTTAAAACCGCATGTTTCCACTGCTTCCCAACAAAGGAGATAATCTGGAAAGACAAATGCTGACCCTCACCATCCAGATGTTCATCAAATGCTGCTTACTGCCAGTTACCTAGTCACTCAGCCCTTGAGTCATAACCGCTTTTGATTTTCACTCCCTGTGAGCTCTATACTTACACCAAAAGTTCAGTCATTTAAAGAGCATTCTTTTTGTGTTTGTGTTTAGATTCTAGCTCTGAGGATGACAAGAAGAAGGTAGGGAATAAACTCCCAGCTAAACAACCTGTGCTGAAGAGTACTTCAAAACTAGCAAAAGTATCTGTCAAGCCTGGACAAGCGAAGAAAGAATCCAGTTCCTCCTCAGACAGTTCAGGTATTGGGGTAGGAGAAAAGAAGAATTTCCACATGCATGTTGTGCTTGCTCAGACCTCCATGTTTCTAGGCAGGGTATGATAGTGCAGTTGGACAGGAATACCTGTGGCAGTATTGTTTCAAGTAGCTGGTGAAGTGCACTGTGTATCAACATGGAATCTGTGTGTTAGCTTTATGTTCAAGGAATGGGGCTTAGCCTTGATCATTTTTTTTTCTTTCCATTCTAGATTCTGATAGCTCTGACAAGAAGGCCCCCGTGAAGCCCACAACTAAAGCAGCAGCCCCTGCAACAAATAAGTCACAAGCTGCAACAAATAAGTCACAAGCTGCAACAAATAAGTCACAAGCTGCCACAAAGAAAACACAAACTAGCTCTGATTCAGATAGCAGCTCCAGCAGCTCTGAGGATGCAAAGAAGAAGCAAGCCACTCCAGCTAAATTAGCTGGCAAAGTGGGTAAGCCGGTGTCCAAACCTTCTACCACAGCTTCCAAAGCAGACAGTTCTGACACTGATAGCTCAAGCAGTGAAGAAGAAAAGAAGCCAGCAGTGAAACCAGCCACCAAATCTACAGTGAAACCAGCCACCAAATCTACAGGGACAGCAAAAGCAACTGTGGGGAAGAAGGCAGCTGCTTCTAGTAGTAGCAGCTCATCCGATAGTTCCAGTGAAGAGGACGAGAAGCCCAAAAAGGCAGCAAAAGGGGCCCAGAGCAATTCTAACACTGCTGTCTCCACAGAGAAGGCAAAAGCATCCACACCAGCAGCAAACAACCTGAAGTCTAAGCCAGCTGATAGCAGCAGTAGCAGCAGTGAAAGCAGCTCTGAAGAAGAGACTAGAGAAGTCAATGGAGGTATTACCCATAGTCTGTCAGGTAGCGTTACTGAGCTGAACATGAATGAGGATCTTTCCTAAATGATATTGAGTCTAGTCTCTATGCGTTACTAGTTTATGCCATCTGGTGCAGTACTGAGAAGGAATGGCTTGTTTTTCATTTGGTGTGATCCTTTTTGTTTCTACTGTATATCTGCTGGCAATGCAATTTATGGTAAGGTTAGGTACACTTCTGTACAGTTGTCAGTTGCCGTATGTGGATCCATATGTTAGTGACTGTTAGTGACAGCAAGGCAGAGTGCTGGAGGACATTGTGTTGAGTAGGACACCATGGATAATGTCCCAGTGCACAGTCTCAATCTTTTTTCCTCCAGGAGAAAACCAGCTTTGAATGCACTAATGATTTGTGCAAGTGCATACTGTAAGGGTTCAAGAACTAGTAAATTTTAAGAAACAGAACTTCCAGTGTGCTAAATCTTAAATGTAGAGGTACCCTATTCCACAAAATTATCTGTCTCCATTAGGCTAGGATGGCAAAGTCCTTGCTGACCCAGAATGGCTATTAGTGTCTGTTATAGCCGTCTGTTTTCTGAGTAAGATAATGCAGGGACTGTTTCTCACACTTGTGTCAAAATTGGGTTTGCATTCTGGGAGGAGATGCCATTACCTTTCCCAATACTGTAGTTACTCCCTTTGAAGTTTTGCTACCGTACATCTAACAGGCACAATCGGGAAGAAACAAAAGAGGAAAGATGCTCAGGAGCCAGAGACACCACACAGGAAAAAGGCAAAGATCAAAGCCAAAACACCGCACACAGTTCCCAAGGTGAAGCGGGTGAGTGAGCATGGACTGGGGTGACTGCAGCCCAGGGGCATTTCTGCCTCCTGAACTAGTAGGCATGTTTGGGGCTTTGGGGGGAGGTTGGTCTCACAGCTTTAATTGTAGTTTTGCTCCTTCTTCAAGCACTTGAACCTTGTCTGGAGAACCCTAGGGAGTACATGTGTGTGCATAGCATTACTGTGGCAAAGGTTGATTGGATGTGCTTGCACAGGAGCGTCCCTGAGCCACCTGATCTGAAGAAGGAAAAGAATTATAAACCTGAGAAAGATTAAGCTGACATGAGCAGCACTCTATATTTGCAGGATGAGGTTGTCACTAAGTGAATGTTGTGTGTGTATGCTCTACTCTTATCTCGTTTTCTTTCTCTTTAACAGCCAGCCTCTCCATTCCGCCGCGTAAGGGAAGAAGAAATTGAGGTGGATGCCCGTGTTGCTGATAACTCATTTGAAGCAAAGGTAGAGTTAGGTAGTGCCCACTACAGTGATGCCTGACCCTGACCCCAGCAAATACTGGCAGAGCAGCCCCGGTGTGCTTGTGGGGAGCTTTTTTGGTGGAAATTTTTTCCACCAGGAGGTGCTGTTAAGCGTGTGAGCACTGGCAGAAGGTGCATGGGAGGGTGGTATCAGCTCCAGTGTTAATGTAGTGGAGTGTGCTGGGTATGGTTGAGTGCAAAGCATTGCCTTGACTCTTGGGTAGTGACCTGAATTTCTTTTTCCTCTCCCCCTTCAACTCTCACAGAAAGGAGCAGCTGGTGACTGGGGTGAGAAGGCTAACAATATCCTCAAATTCACTAAAGGCAAGTCTTTCCGCCATGAGAAGACAAAGAAAAAACGAGGCAGCTACCGTGGGGGCACTATATCAACCCAAGTCAATTCTGTCAAGTTTGAAAGTGACTGAGAATGTTTCCTTTGGAATTCATAAAACATCTGCTCACCAGAACGGCCTGGATGGGCATGTGAACATTATGGACGTCAAGCCTGCCTGGAGTGCTACCTCCCCATGCCCATTGTGGGTCAGGCAGCTTCAGTGTAGGGATGTGGGAGAATGGTTGGCTGTTTCCCCCTTTTGTTTCCAATTCTGGTTTAAGCCCCTGATTTGAAACCATCCTTGAGCTGGTGTTATTGACACCACTAGGGTGACTCTCCAAGACTTAAATTTTCTGTGGTCTTATTTTAAAAGGCTGGCAGTGATTTTTTTAATTTTTTTTTTTTTTTAATTTTTTTCATTTCAATCTCCTGCCAATCTAGTAGAAAAAAAGAAAGTAATTCTTCTGCATCTTAATCTCCCCCTTTTTCAGCCAGTTTAACTGGGATACCTGTGAAATGGCAAGTATTGTAACTTGCTTTTGGTTAGTTACTGTATAAGCAACAACTTATTTGAAGCCTTTGGCTGTAATCCCTACCCCAGCTGACATTTCAAGTTCACAGTTGTAGTGTGACAGGGTTTCTTCTTTAATGGTTTCACCTTGCAGTAAATTCTTACCTTCCTCTTCCTTAACACTTCTGTTGAGGCCGCTAACAAGAGTGTTTAGAGAAGCAGAGTCTAAATACACCTTAGTAGTTGAGTAACTGTTGCTTGCAGTTGGAAGCTGTGGGCTATTGTGAGGAAGACTAAGGTCTATAGTACTGCTGTGGCACTCCTTGATGACACTGGGAATGTAGTTGGGGAGTGGAGATGTGCAGAAACTTGACTGCATGGAGATTGTGACATTTGGCTTGGTGGGAGTGGGTAAGGAAGCAGAGGTAATAAAGCCACCTTTTCTACCCAGCTTTGCTTTTTTTCCATGTTTTTGTTTCAGAGGCTCTGACTGCAGTGTGGCGTTACTCCTTGTTTTTTCTGAACATAAAACATGCCAGCTTATGCTTACTCCCAGCAGTGTGCTGTGCAGCTTGTTAGGAGTCAAGATGAATGTATCATTAATGCCTTAAATTTCTGGTTTGGTTCACTTGCTCTTTGAGCTGTTTTCCATCTGTTAAATCCCTCTCAAGGTAAATTGTATTTCCCTATAGCACTGGGGCAAATAAAGACTGGTGCTACAAGGTTTGAACATGTGCATGTTTGATACAAGGACCCTCAAATTCAACAGTTTGCAGCCTAAACAGATACCATGAGCAACTTGAGACAATATAATGGCTTCCTGCTGTTGAGAGGAGGGCTTGCTCTAGTTGTGTGACTGCCTACTTATTTCTGGTGCAGTTTGCATCTGTAGAAAATGGTTCCTCCAACTACATTTTTTCCCCTGTTGGGTAATTAACCCTGTTAGGGTTCATTTTAGTGGTAGAACAGTCTGTTGAGCCCACAGCCAGTATGGATTGAACAGTGGTAGTGCATGTTTGGGAAGCCGGGGTAGAGGGCTGTGAGAACTGCTACCCCATCTCATGAAACTGCCACCCACCGGGCAAGGTTATGCAGGGCCTGATTCCATGTTTCCGTTCTCTTCCCAGAGAGTGACAATGAGAAGAGCTCTGTTGTTACAGGAACCTATGTTTGTTTGCAAAGCAGTGTCACCTAATTGAGGGTTAGGATGAGTCTTGATGAGCCACCCCCATATACATGAGCTGCAACTTGTTCCAGTGAACATTTTTCAGGACTTCTCTGGCTTGCATGATCAGTTTGGTGCCTGAATTCTAGGCTACAGCACAGAGGGGTCCAGGAGGCCACAGTTATTACAAGAAATTAAGGATTAGATGCCAAGGGAAGGTGGAGGATGTTTTTTCTATCTGGGAATCTGAACATCATCTTGCTTGTGGTTTGTTATTTGCCCTCTTTATCAGAACTTACATTTGGAACTCTTAAACTTTTAAGAAATTTCTCTGTTTTGGGGGTATTTTAAGTCTAAGAATTTTAATGTGTCAGAAAAATAAAGATTGATGCTTTTGTAATCTGAGTGGATCTGGTAGTTAAAGGTGTGCAACAGCAGCTGGGAAAAGGGCTGAGGTACCACGGTCTCTCCATCTGTCTGCAGCTTACTGTCTGCCTAGTTTTATGCTTATGTGCATATAATGGGCCTTCAGAAGTGCAAGGTGGCCTGTGAAGCTGGCTGTAGAGTGACTGCAAGAAATCTGGATGAAACTAGAAACATGTTTGCTTATATCAAGACAAACTCAGGCTGTTAACTGCCCACCAGAATATCTAGTTAGCTCTTCTCAAATACTGCTGTCAAAAAGGCTGTGTGGCAGCTGGCAATGTAAGAGGCACCAGCCTATGGGAATAAGGAATTAAAGGCATAACTGAACACATTCTGTATATGCCTAGTGCAAAGAAGTTATTTCTGTGTCCCCTTAGATCTCTTCCTCTGCTGTGGCTATGTGTGCAAGGAAAAGAAACTCCCCAGTACGCAGGGCCTGGTGGAGGTCTTGTGTGCTATAATGCTTATTTTGACCCCTTCTGTTATGCGTCTGTGAAAAGGTTGGGAAGAATCACCAGGCAGATTCGGCTGTCGCAGAGTGTTAACCAAGGCTTTTTGCCACAGCCTTCCCCATCAAATCTGGTGCTGTAGAAGGTGTAATGCTACCTGAAGTTGCAGTAGCAGATGCATAGAATGTCATTAGCCTTGCTGGAGATCAGTACATGACTCAGCAAGTGCGACAAGTGCTGGGGTGGTGGGGAATGCTCTGGGAGATGCTCAGAGCTGTGTGATCTTCCATTTGCTTTGACGCTCCTAGGGGAAAACTTTCACAAGCTTTTGCAGCAGCTCAGAAGGCTTGAACGTACATCTCTAGTGCAGTCCTGGTGTGAAGGAAACACCTCATGGAGCACTTAAGCCTAGTTACTGGTGCAGTTTCTGCTATGGTTTAATGCTGGAGCTGGCCAAACAGGACATGCCCCTCTGGCATGTGCTGTACTTGTATGTATGTCCCTAGCGCCCTAATTCTCCCAGCGCCGTCCTTTACATTTTGCTGTCCTGACTGATCTGGGTGCAGTCTCCTGTCCTGGCCCTCCGGACGCCTGAGCAGGGTCCGGCACCGGTCACTGGAGAGGTGCTTTGACGCCCTTTTGACACACCGTCCCGCAGCTGCCGGGTGCTGTCCTCCTGCCCGCTGCAGCTGCAGAGCGGCGGGGCCGGCTCTCCGCGCTCCCCGTGCTGACGGGTCCGCCCCGCCTTTGGCCCGGCCCGGCAGGGCGGCCCGTGGGTGCGGCCCGGGGGCCGGTGCTGCGCGGCCCGCCCCCCCCGCGCCCGCTGCCGGTCGGCCTGAAAGAGGAAGGCGGGGACGACTGCTCCGCTCCTTTCCTACCGCCGCGCTGAGCTTCTCTGTGCCGCGACTGGGGCCACGCTGCCAGAGGGACTCGCTGCAGGTGGGTATCGGCACTGCTGCCACCGGCGGGGCGGGCGCGGCGGAGGGGCCCCGAGAGGGAGGGCGGTCCGGGAGGAGCCGGCACGGGAGCGGCTGCGGCCGGTGCTCGGCAACCCCGTTCTGCCGGGGCAGCTCTCGGCCCCCTAGTGCCGCGCTGACTCCCTGTAGGGGCATCCGCTGCTGGTGAGAACACGGCCGAAGGTTGCGATGTCTGTCCCGCCGTCCTGCCCCGCTGCCGTGCGAGGGAGAGGGGGAGGAAGAGGGAAGAGGGAAGAGGGCTGCTCTGCCCCCGGGCGCTCCCGGCACTGCAGGGTCGCGGCTGCGCAGGCGGCTGGTGCAGTGCGAACAGCGGGTGCTGCACGGCTCCTGGCCGTGCTCTGCGAGGACCTTGAAGGGTTGGACTGAAGTTCTTGAGCTGATGGCAGAGGCAGCTGAACGCCTCTCTGCTGCTGGGGAGGAGAGACGGGAACGGGCTGAGCTCCCAGCCCTCAGCTTGGCCTTGGCTCTGCCAGGATGCATGTGAACAGCCCGGGTAACTGCAACAGGGCTACTGAAGGCCACGAGTCAAGCATCTGCTTAACTGCACAGGATCAGAGCCTTGGCACCTGAACAAATGTTCAAAGAGCTTTTGTGTAACTTGCTTCATCTTCCTGCAGGAGATTAGATCTCAGGAGCGTATTCTCTCTCCTGCTCTGCCTCCTCATCCTACGCATCCCTCCTCAGCCTTTGTTTATGGCAGCTTGGCCAGGCATCATTCCTCCAGCGTGCTCAGAGCCAAGGAGCTCTTTGGTTTGGTCTTGGGATTGTTGTTTGGTGTGTTTTTCTTTAACGTGAGGGCAGCGATTGCTTTATTGAAGATATGAGTCGTTTCTGGCTCCTCTACTCCTGTAATTCTGTCAAATGTGATCAGACTTGTCTGTCAGGGCTTTATCAATCCCCAGCACTTCCTACACAAGGTTTCACAACCTTCTGGGGCTGTTTAATGACTTTTCTTTTTAACGTGGTGCTTCTCTGCAGAGCAAAGCTGAAATGACAGGGCAGTAAATGGAAGGCTCTTCTCCTCCACACTCCCCTTGATCACTTCTCTAAAGATTGGTGCACTTGTATCTCTTCAGTCTTCTTTGCAGTCTCAAGAACTTGTTCAACTTGACTGCTGTACAGGCAAAACCCCTTCTTAAGACCAGAATGTGCACTGAACTGTCGTGTGCTCTCACTTCAAGGTTTGTGGATCACATGAATATTTGGAAAGGGCCCCAAGCCTTTTTGTCTCTTGCATCCAGGGATTACAAATAAACTTAAGTGCTTCCACACTGCAGACATGAGACCCTCACAAGCAGCACAGCCCACACATCAGCTGCTTCTGTATTGCAGCTGTGTTGTAAATGAGGATGTCCTTTTGGACATCCAGAAGAACTTGCTCCTGCAGAGCACAGTGGTGTCCCTTACAGGAGATACCCAGGAAGCCTGTGGATGTGGAGTGGGGGGAATCTCTCTTACCACATAGACAGATTTAATGACTGATGAGAGGCCACATGGGGAAGCAGATGATGGTGTTTGACACCATCCCTATCTCAAGTTCATGAGGATGTCTGTAGTTTCAAATGCCTTGATAAGCATCCAGATCTTTATTTATTTTCTCGGTTATTATGGATCAGTATTTTCTTTAGTACCATGATTCCCTGGCTGTGATCTATGGAACGCCAACTTCCTGCTGGCCCACAGATTCCACCTTGCCTGTAGAGATTCCTCCAAAAAACTCTGATGAGCGAGGAAGGATGTTGAAGATGGCCCAAGGTCCCAAAAGTTTGGAACTGACTGGGGACTTTGTCCAAAACAGACGAAGATGAGCAGAGCACTTCTGATGCTGTTGTGTGGAAGCAGTAGCACCAAGTGTGGTGTGAAGTATGAGTTATTCTGATGCATGCCTGATCATTGCTGTGGTTGTTCCCTTTGGTCTTTTGGGCTTTCTTCATTCTCTGTTTTCCTTGGGGGCCACCATGAAGATGCAGAAAGAAGAACGGTAGGAAGGAGCGGTGTTTGGAGCAGACCATGTCTGTGCACTATTCACTCTGTGTGTGAACAGTGTTTTAAAAAACACAGGGCTGTAGGCTCCCTGGGGAGGCTTGTATTTGACGACAAAGGGTTTCTTTCTTGTTCATTGTTTTCTATACTAGAATACTAGTACTAGTATACTGTATTGCTAACATTAGTATCCCATAACACTAATATTAGTATTTTAGTGTTATTCACCCAGGTGACTCTGGTGAAGCAGGAGCCTGTGATAATCCAAAACCAGAGCACAGAAGCCCTCCAAGTACTGGGTTGGATGTGATTGATGGTTAGACTACACTGCTTCAACACATGCTTTATTAAGTTTACTTTATACAGCATTTATCTTCTAGGATTTTACTAGAGTTTCTCCTGGGCAGCTCCTGCTTGTACTGCAACATCTTCCTGCAGCGGCAGAATTGCGCTCGGAGCTGCATACCTGCTTGCATGGAGGTTTGGCTTCCATAAATAAGCCACAGCTGGGTTAGCTGTCATCAGCCCGATGGTAGCAGATGGTCCTGTTTTTTCTGGAACATACCCAACAAATGAGGCAAACTTTGGTTTCTTATTCCAGGAATAGTTTTGAGCATCCAAGTGAAGATGTCTTTTCCTTTTGGCTTCAAATGAATTGTGCTGCTTTGTTAACTATTGAGAAGTTCACAGTGCAAACATTTCTTCTTACTGTGGTCAAGAGCTGGATAGAGACTAGAGTGCAGGAGGGGAAGTAATTCAGCCCAGCTTCCGAGTCCTAGGCAGGAGCTACATAATACAAAATGCTGGAAGAGAGGCATAAATGTACACAGCAGGGCTCTTGCCTTGAAGTCTGTTCACTGCTGTTTCTTTGTGGGCTTCTCTGCCTGGACTGCTGGCAGAGGTCTTAGTACTTCAACCTAGGAAAAGGCACCAGGATTAAAGAAACCCCTATCTTTAGAGCTGTAGCTGTTCAGTTACTTCACTTTAGTTAAACTGATGTTACTTTCAGTTGAACTGATGTTATTTTCCATCAATATCAAAGTCATACCCTGCCAAACATGTTAAACAGGGCAAAATCAAGGACAGATTTTGTTGCAGTAAGCTGTTTGGGGGGGGGGGGAGGTGTATCAGAGGGCTGCTTTCTCTTTGCTCCTTTTCTGTTGCTCTGTGGCACAGGCTTTATTAACAGTTTTCTTGAACCTTGACTTCTGTGTGTTGGTGCTAACTGTGCTGTTAGGGGGATTGCTCTGCGCAGATCAGCCAGTCAGCATGGCTTTACTGGGTGCTTGTCATGAAAACAGTGGGAAGGGTCTATTCTCTCTTTACAAGCCTTCTCCTTGCAGTGTTATTTCTTGCAGTGTTTATGTGACTTAGCTCCTAGTCCAGGACTTCCAGACCACAAGCAAGAGGTGGCTATGTCTGCCCTGCTCTCAGATCTAGTGTGGGATATGTCGCTTACTTGGATTCCGCACCTCTCCTGCAGCACAGGCTGTGAATTCACCTCCCTGCAGAATTGATTTCTGTGCTCAGCTGTTTGGAGGTTTCTGTTGAAGACCACCTGAACTCCCGTAGCCCGAGGGCTGGGCTGCAGCCAGCACCCCAGCTGTAAAAGGTGCTGCACTGGCCACAGCACCTGCCCTTGCTGGAGGATCCTGCTGCAAAGCTCATGGCGTGGCTTTGTTGTTCAGTGTTGGTAAAAGATAAAGTAGAGAAGTGAACATGTGGATTTTGAGCCCTCCCTCATCTAAGCCATTTAGCCGTTGTGTGCATAAGTTTGCTTTCCTCTTTGCTGTCAATCTGAGGTCCTAACAGTGACTCCTTGCTGAACAAGGGATGAAGAGCAGAGTATTGCCCTTTGAGCTGATAGTTATGCCTTCATTATATCCCAGGAGGACTGAGAAGCACAATGTGCCTGGGTAGAACCTGCCTGATGTATCTAGCACAGACCTAGGTCTGGAGATGTGGCCAGGGTACCCCTCTGGGTATAGGCAGACCAGAGATCTCTGGTGGTATTGGGCTGGGGTAGGAAAAAAGGTCCCTTCCTGCAGCCTGGCATCCTCTCACCACTTAGGAAGATTTACAGCCTCTCTTGTTGCCTGGACAGGGAGAAGGGGCTCCTGAGCCAGCACCTGTAGGGATTGCTCCTAATGCTGTTAGGGATGAAGCAGTCAAGAACAGGTTTCCAGTCTCCTGTGTCAGCAGTGCCCCTGGCCTGAGGGCCAAGTTAGACAGCTTACTTGTCATTTGGATTTTGGTAGCCCCTAGAGGGTCCTGGCAGAGCTGAGGGTCTCAGCAATATCTGGCACACAGGTCCATGGCAAGCCATGGCCTTTGCTGAAGATGGGTGACAGATTTTTTCTTTAAAAAACTATTCCTTTTGCCTGCACTGTTTCTTTGCCTTTTACTTATTGCCCAATGATAGAACACCCCACCCCACACAGAAAACCACTTCTGCTCCTCTCAGCATAGTTATGCATGTGCATGACCCACCAAGTGCCCCAGGACAAGTCTATACCTGCTCTTGTCATGGGGCCTATCCTGAGCTCTCTGCTGACCTGGAGCAGTACAGGGCTGCCATCCCTCCTTCTTTCCCTCCTCTGAAAGCTGCATATTCACTCCAGATCTGCTGTGCGATGTCATAGCCAAATGCTGGTGCTGAGCAGGATAAATCCCCTTTGAGCCTCTCAGATAAGCTGAGAACTAGACCCAGCTTCATGGGGTATAGCTCTACGGTGGCCAGCTCTGCTGGTATGGGCAGGAGGAAGGATGCCGGACAGATTCTTATTTCCTTGCCAGGCTTTTGCTGTCTTCTTTCCAGCCTATCACCTTTGTCTCCTTCCTCCTGGAGCTCTTGCTCTGTGGGTCCAACAACCTCCTTGGTATCTGCTAGCATTTCTCATGTTTCTTATCACTCCTGCTGGCACAGCCCAGGGTGGGAAGGGTGGGAGACCAAGCACTAGTAGGAGCTGTCTTTGAAAGAGGGGAAGGTCTCAGCCAGTGGCTACTCTCTTTCTTTCCCATGTCCGGTCCCCACATGGAGCAAGAGAATAATGGGGGAGGAGTATGTCACTTTTACCAGCCCCCCATGCACTGTCTCTGGCCAGAGATATCCAGGTGCTGAGGAAGGTCTGAAGATTGTATTTAGCAGCATCTTCTCCATTGCTTTCTTTCCTGCCTCTTAATTGATCACGCGATAGCGGAGAGGCTGGCAGAAAATCTTGTACCAGATTCTGCTCTACCACATCCCTTCAGCCCCGCTGCGCCCAGGGCTTAGCATATGAGGCCATCCAAAATCCACTTACAATTGTTCCCATTGTAACCTTTCCTCCCCCCTCCCTTCCCAGCATGTCTGAACTGGGTCTTCAGGACACGGCTCTGCTTCTGACCGTTCCCAAATAATTATCACATAATTCTTCTCCCAAAATAATGCAAGGTGTGGGTGAGGCGCGTTCGCTTCCAGTGGTGTAGCAACATCCCTTACACAAGAGAAATGCTGGGTGTTTCACCAAACCGGGAGTCGGATGACAGCAGCAGGAGTGTGACTAAGGGGCGTCGGTGTGCCACAGATCTAGCACGTTATCTCTGGGCTACTTTCTGGGTTTGCTTTCTTTCAGTGCATCAGTATCCTGGCACCTGCTTTCCCTTCCCATCTCTTCCCTGGAGCCTTCCCATCTTCCCACAGCTAATCTGTACTGGAGAAGCTCTCCATCAGACCCCTGCTGGGATTTGGGTTCATCTTGAGGTTCCTGCTGTAATCTGGGCTCACTCCTAGCCTGTCTGTGCTGAGCAAGTTGGCCTTGCAGGGGCCAAAGCCAGAGCGTGCATGTCGGCATTCCCACCAGGCTCTGCAGGCCTCCCAGTGAGCTTGTACAGGATCAAGGGCCCAGAGGGAACCAGCCATTCTGGCTGCACAGAAATAGAAATGAAATCCAGCTGTGCTGGTTCTGTAGCGGTAACTGGGGGTTGAGCAGCAGATGTCTCCTGGTGCTGTGAGCCAGCAGAGCTCCTCCAGCCACTTTCCCTCTAACCTCCTGCAAGTCACTCTGCTAGTGTTTGAGCCTTAGGAGCACAGAGGAGATCTTGAGCTTCTGGAAAGAACAGTGGTGTGTGATTTTGGTTTTGTTGTTTGTTTGAGGGGGGGTGTTGGGTTTTTATTTATTTATTTATTTGTGATTTTTGTGACTTTTTTTTGGGGGGAGGGGTTGTTATTTGCTGGTTTTGGTTTTTTTCCAGTGATGAATTCCAGGTGTCTCTCCTCTGCCAGCTCATGAGCTTCTGCTTGGAACAGTCCAGGCTGTTAGTTGCCCAACTATGTGACAGAGCATTTCATATTGTATTAATGGCTTGTTTCTCTCCTTGCAGTGATGAAGATGATGAAGGTGCTGCCATGCCCTGCTGCTGTTCTCTTCCTAGTGGCTGCGTTCACTCTGGAGCCATCTCACTCTGCCAAGGTGCTGATCATGCCCACAATAGTCTTTGACAGCCACTTACGAGTCTTCATGCGAGTGGCAGAGGCATTGACTGACCGGGGCCATGACCCTGTGCTGCTACTTCATGAGGGTCGGGATGTGGAAACCTACCTGCCTGGCTTCCGTGTGCAGAGGTACCGGGGTATCTTCAGCACAGAGAGTGCAGACGCCTGGGTGCAGGAGAAGATAAAGCGTGTCTTCCAGGGGAAAATGACCTCTCTGGAGGTGTTCTCGTTTTTGGAGAAGTACCTGGAGAACTGTGACCTGGTGCTGGGAAACTCCACTCTTCTGCAGAAACTCCAGTTTGAGAACTTTGACCTGCTGTTGGTGGACCCTAATGAGATGTGCGGCTTTATCCTGGCCCACATCCTCCAGGTGAAATATGCTGTGATCTCCACTGGTTTCTGGTTCCCAGCAGAGATTGGTGCTACTTCTCCTATTGCCTATGTCCCTGAGTTCAACTCCCTGATGACGGACAGGATGGGCTTCTTTGGTAGGACTTGGAATCTCCTAGTCTACATGATCACTCGTGTGGCTACAAAGCTGGTCATCCTGCCCAAGTTTGAACGTCTCATGGAGAAGCATAGGGTGGAGCCCAAGATATCTATGTTGGACCTTGTCCATGGAACTAGTCTCTTCTTCCTCTGTAACGATGTGGTGTTGGACTTCCCCCGTCCAACACTCCCCCATGTCATTTTCACAGGGGGCATCCTCGCTGAGCCGGCAAAGCCCCTTCCAGTGGTAAGTGCAGGAAAGCTTTGAGCTGTGATTGCACATTAACCTGGGGAGTTATGCAATATAAATCATCTTTTGAAGAACCTTGGAAAAGCTTGGAAGCCCCAGGAGTCTGGAAAGCTTCTGTGTTTTGGTGCTTGGGTGCAGCAGGGAGACATGGCACACCATGGGGTTGCAGGGAAAATGTAGAATTAAGTTGTCCAACCTGCAGTGGGATGTGCCTTTGCTCTCCATGTAAAGTAGTGTCTGAAAGTCCACAATTGGCTATGTTACTCCTGGAACTTGATCACGAGTAGTTTGTTTGTTCCTATATTTGAAGCAGAAATGGGAAGACCAATTATTCTTCATTGCTTTGTCACCAATTTATGTCAATCCAGAATCTCCTCCTTAATCCTATTTCTCACAGGGTGTTTCTGCCCTTGAGTCTGTAGACTTAAGAACCCATAGGGGAGATCTGTGCATGTTCCCTCATAAAATTCAATGTGGAATCCCAAAGTGTACAACATTTAATTATATTATCCTCTTTTTCTCAAGGTCCAGCCCTAAGGAAAAATTCCCAGGCATTCTGGAAGCTTTCTCTGGCCTGTACCTTACTGTCCCCAGTAATAAATTCAGAGGCATAAGCTCTTAAAGCCTCCAACTGAAGACAATATTGAACCAGAGGAGGACCTGTTTGCCATTCCTCCCATTGCCTTACCACTTTCACAAACACTGAAGGGAACTAAACCTGGATAATGACACGCAGGCAGTCAGGTTGATCCTGGTGTTCTGATATTAAGAATAAGGTTTCAAATTATTAGAGGCCTATCAAGATCTCTGATGGCAGCTTTAATTGAGACTGTGGGTGCTAACTTTTTCCCAGCTAAAAGCAAGAAGTTACATCAGATGCTTGAGAACAGAAGTTCTCCAGATGTGTGTGGCTGCACATCACCCTTTCCCATGTGGCACAGCATGCAGATAATGCAATGCACGTAGCGTGCTCCAGAAGCTGTGTCAGAGAGTGGCTGCCTCATGGCTCTTGCAAAACGTTGTCTTGGTCCAATCTGCCCATGTACATGCCCGCCTTATAAAGAAGGGAGTTGTCTGCTGGGGCATTACTCATGTGCTTCACAGCTTCCAGAACAGACCCCAAGGCACCTGAGGGAAGAATGGTGTAGATAAATCCGGAGCCCTGCAGTAGGCAGTGGCTGCTGTGGAGCAGGTAGGGATGTCTCTGTCAAGGTTATAGGATGTCAGCAGAAGAGAGGGACTCCCTAGGTCTAGGGGTAGCACAAGGCATGTCCCATTCTGAACTGGAGCAGAGTTATGTAATTAAGGTGTTTATTTCTTCCTATTTGAAACAGTATGATTGTGAGTTCCTCTAATCAGAACTCAAAGAAATATAGCTATGCGTTTGAGAGATGGTGAGAACTTTTGGTGGACAGCCATGCTGCCCTAGCAATTTTAATGGTGTTTCTGAAAGAAAAATATCTAAGGCCCAGGTGTAATGGATAATGTGATAATCTGGGTTATGAATAATTTTATATAGAAAAGTAAAACTAGCACTTTCTCTTCTGCACCAGTTTTAGTGGTTTTATTGATCAAAGGATGTGCAACTCAAGAGAATGGAGAAACCAAAATCCCTTCACTGTAAACTTACGATTCTTGGTTGTTGGGTTGTTTTGGGGCTTTTTAAGGATTTCTGCAAGGATAAGTTTGAGTCCCTGAAGCATACAACAAAGGACAGATATCCCCAGAGAATAATACCAAGATGTGCTTTGTGACTCTTCTGTACTCTGATCCCCCAACCTGTAGGCTACTATTAATAAGATTTCTTTATTAGTCATCCAATTTTTCTGCTTTAATAACAGGGAGAACTATTTCATTTGCTTTTCATGTTCTTCTATGGTGTTTATTTCAAGGAAGTATTCATATTCAAAGACAGATTTTATGAAACTTTCCTAAAATGCTCCTGGCTGTGATACATGGGAAACCTGAACCAGCATAGAATCCATAATGAGAAATAGGCTCAGCGCAACCTGGCATAAAAGGGAATAATCTGTGTTTGCTCCATGGCAGCTGTGGTGGCTGACTTCTTCTCCCTGCAGCCTTCTGGTCCTGGTTGAAAAAGTACATTCTCTGTCCTGGATACACACCTTCTTTATGTAGCCTCTAAACAAAGGACAAACAACTGTGGGTTTTGCTGGAGCTGTAGCTACCTCTCTGCCGAGTGACCAGAAAGCTAAATCTGCTACTTGCAAGCAGCTATCAAGGATAAGTAGAAGTCTGCTGGCAAGATGAGAAAACCTTCTGCTACCTCCAGGAGGCTTTGCCATTGGAGGGTTTGTGGGGAATCTCCAGCCAGGTACTGCTCCTGACTGCCTGTGTGATGTTTTGTCTGTTGTATCAGCCTACAGCTAGAGATCCTGACAAGCCTCCTGCTTTACTAATGATGGAAAATCCCTTCCTCTTCCTTCTCAGCTCTGGCTGCTCCTGTGTGGGCCTGATGTTTTCAGAGCCCTATTTGCCAAATGGTAATTGTGTTGCCTCCAAAGCAGGAGGAAATGCTGCAAAATGCTGGTTTTGGACACCTCCCTGCAAGCTCCCAAGCCAAGCAGGTGCTCAAGTAATTTCTGCTTGGCTGGGTGCAGAAATCACAGTGGTTCTAGTTTGTTGCCTGGTGAAAACCAGGTAGCTTTGTGCTCTAGGTGGATTTGGCTTCATCCTCTCTGTAGGCAGCTTTCTACTGGCAGAGGCAGCAGCGGGAAGAGCCTTTCTCCAGCAAGACTTCAAGGCAGCTGTGTGTGTTTTGCCCACAGGGTCTGCGTCTCTGGGTGGAAGAAGCAGATGCGGGTGTTGTTGTTGTCTCCTTTGGCATTGGGATCCGAGCTCTGCCAAGCGATTTGGTGGAGAAGATGGCTGGCGCATTTGCTCGCCTCCCGCAGAGGGTGGTGTGGAGGTAAGGAGGGAATAGGATTCCTTTTAACTCTGGTTGGATGAAAATCAGTGTTGAGGGGTGATTCATCTCGAAACACAGATTGGCTTTCCATTTCTTAATCTGATTGAATTTATAATTGTTCTCTGTGTGTTTCTTCTCCCTTCCCCCCCCCCCCCCTTTATCACCTCCCACAGATACTTCGGGGAGAAGCCAAAAAACCTCGGTGAGAATACACTGATGATGGGGTGGCTGCCCCAGAATGACCTGCTAGGTAAGGCTAGGCTCTGTGTGTGTGCATGTGTGTGTGTGTGCCACTAGAAGCATCCCTGGAGTTTAGCCCAAACCACAGCAAAGGTGTATAAGGACAACAGCACCTTTGTGGCTCTAAGTCTGTTGCATGTTGTGAATCTGATCTGTAAAAAACATGGTCTTCTTCTAACACCTGCTTGAAGCTCCATCTTGGCCCCTATCTCCCTCCTCCTCTGAGTGGTACTAAGCAAGTTTTGGGCTGCTGAAAGCCAGGTGTGTTCCCAAAGGGTAACATCTTGTCTACTCAGCATACCTGGTTTTTCCTAAACCTACAAGAGTGCTGTGGATTGAAGCCACCACTAGTCCTGTTTCAGTGTGGAAGGCACTGACTTGCTGCTGTTTTGTTGCCTGCAGGTCATCCCAATGTGAAAGCCTTCGTCAGCCACTGTGGGATGAACGGTGTATTTGAGGCGATTTATCACGGTGTGCCAGTGGTGGGATTTCCTTTCTATGGGGACCAGTTTGACATCATGACCAGAGTGCAGGCAAAGGGCATGGGTATCCTCATGGACTGGAGCAGTGTAAAAGAAGAGGATCTTTACCAGGCTGTCGTCACAGTTATCTCTGACCCCAGGTGAGGCATCCAGAAGCATTGAGCTCTTCCTTGGTACAGACTGTATGTAGGGACCAGTGTTGTGTTGATCCCCACACAGCCTCTCATGTCTTCTGCACCAAGCAGAGTTGCAAGCATTGCTTAGCTGGCCAGATGTGTTAGTGCCTCGAAACCGTGAGATGCAGTCCAGGAGAAGATACTCCAGCATTAGCTGTTAGAGAGCGTGATTTAGTCCTGTTTGACTCCAACTGTAATTTTCTTAGAAAGCTTTCTGAGATGCTGAGGACAAACCTCTTTTAACGTCAGCCTGCCATCAGGGAAAGTGAGCTCGCTACCTCACCTTGGGATCTCCCTGGTCTGCTCCAAACTGTAGAAACAGCGCAGGGAAATGGACTGAAAGTAATGCTTCATCTCTTCCTTCTGACAACTGATACTCTGCCCTTTCCTAGATGTGCTGCAGCACAGTGACACAGGGCTCCCACTTTCTAGAGGATACGAGCAACTGCTAGTGTTTGAAATGCCATCTGAGAGCTTGACTTGTTTGTTTGTTTTGTTAGGGTTTGTTTTATTTTGTTGATGTTTTGTTTGATTTGGGGTTTTTTTTGTTACCAATTAGGATCTCTCAGCTACTGACCTCAGTGTAAGTTATTAAGGTGGTGTAACTCAGTACCTTGAAGGAGTTGGCCGGTTGCACATCAAGTGTGCAACTGTTGCTTGGTGCTGTGTGAGGTCTTTGGATGCAAACTCTCCTCAGAAAGTAGCAGTCCACATGAGCCCACTGAGCAGGTACTTGTGAGCTGAACTCCAGTCTTGTTAACGAAACACAGAATAAAATACACTCTGGCTTGTGCTGCTGTGGCTAACAATTGCTGTCAGGGTGGCTTTCAGAGGTGTGTATGAAGAGAATCGTGGAAGAAATTTGCCAGTCTCCTAAGGTACTAGTTGGGATGTGAAAGAGACCACTGGACACCACAGACCACAGCTATGAAGCTCCTATGAGAAGGGTAAGTTCTTGTCTCCTTCTCTTGCAGCTACAGAAAAGCAGCCAAGCTCATCTCAGCGCTGCACCTGGACAGACCAATGCATGCTCTCAATAGGACAGTGTATTGGCTGGAGTACATCCTTCGTCACGATGGGGCACCCTATCTTCGCCCTGCTGTCTATGACCTCTCCTTGTACGAGTACTTCTGCTTGGACATCTTGGCTCTTCTCCTCTTGTGCCTGGCTGGCGTTGGATTCGTCCTCTACAAATCTGTGGTGTGGTGCAGAAGGAAGGGCGCCAGCCCTGTGTATCAGAATGGCAATTGCATGAAAGGCCACTTCACAGAAGAGAAGAAATGGCAGTAGTGGCTCAGTGTGTTCCACTGAGCCCATCCCATCACTGTGAAACAAACTGCTGCTGTGCCAAGAAATGTACGGCATGCAGGCACGGCGAGAGGTGAAAGATCAGCAAGTCTGGGTGAGAAGCGACTGGGGAGGGAGGAGTGTTACAGAGGCCTGTGTGCACACCTCTGTGTACAGCACCTATGGGTGGGGACGCGGATTCAGGCATGGGTGGAAGCACTTGGCCAGGATGCTGGGAGCGGGGCATGGGTAGGTAGACTTCCAGGGAGGAGCGCAGGTTGTTCCCTTTGTATTGCACCTTGGTTTATGTGCTGGTGTTGCTCTTCTGGCTTTTTTGGATCTTCCGTGGAGGCTCTGGAGATAGGAATAGCATTTCATGTGTAGCAGACACCATTTCTCCTCTGCCTTGTTACTAAGAGCCCTGGGAGTCAGGATTTCTTTATGTGTGGGTGAGGACCTGAAGCAGAGCTGTGGACAGGGAAGGGCACTGAAAGTGTCATCTACACGAGAATGAAATTGGTCTGGTTTAAGTTCTGTGGGTCGATATTGTTCTTCCTGCTTCAACCAACCCTCTGCCATCCTGTTCATGTTTGAGCTAAATTATTATTTTTTAAAATAAAGTTGTATTCTTTCTCCTGTGTGGCAGTTCTCTGGTCTTGGTTTGGTGTGAACCTGTGATCTGTGTAACATGATGTATTAAAGTGCCTTTTCCTTCTCATTACTGCTGCTACAGTGTCCGCATACCGCTGGATCCCTACAAACCTCCATCAGCAATATTTTGGTCTTCCCAGGGGGTTTCAGGCAGTGCCTTCTCTCCTCTGCCAGTGTTACACACACCCATGCTCATGGAGTCTCCAAACCTCAGATGTGATAAAAGAAGTTTGGAACAGATGCAAGTGCCAGGACCACAGGGAGAGCTGGCAATAGCTCAGAGCTGGTCGTAAGCAATGGGCCATACAGTATGGGACGCCATACGTTTATAGAAGAAACAAGCTGCTCTTTCTGAGGAAAAGAGAAGTGCCTGCTCATCTCAGTGTGAACACGTATGACCTTGCCCCACTTGGGGACATTCTATGGAGTGATACCTGTGTTTCTACTCACACTGGACTCTAAGGCAAGCCCACAAGCTTGGGTGCAGCTGCACAGCCCACCTGAAATATTGGCTCATGGTCCAACCAGCAATGGCCCATGCTGAAGATCTAGGGCTCTGCTCTGTGCTCTCAGCTGGGGCATGGCAGTGCTGGCACTAACTCAAGAGTAACCTCGTTGCCACCGCTGCCCCTGCTGGTGTTTTCAAGCTCTGCTCTCCCTTGCTATTGCATGTGTTTCTCTCTAGATGAAAGGCATGTTGCCATGTTTGGCTGGACTCCTGGAATGCGCTGGCTTGGGAAAGTGCCCAGTTCTGATTCGGTGGCTCCTCTCAGGTTGAGCAGTGCTTCACCCAACCCTCAGCTTGCAGGGGGGCTGTGATGAAGAAAGGGTTGGATGAGAGTATCATTTGCCATCAAGGACAGATGGGAAATCCCCATAGACCTCTACTGGGACCTGTAGCTATCCTGTTGCAGAAGCTGCTCTTCCGGGAGTTTCTGTCTGCCTTCTGCGATGCCCAAGCCTGACGATGGTCAGTGGTGGGCACAGCAACCCATCAGTCCTGCTCTGTAGCCACCCTATGTCACTTTTGAGCTGAGGATATAGAGTCTAATTGTCCCAGTGGGGGTGGGAGGAGATCAGAATAAGATAGGCTGATAATAGATAGCAGAGGAAATCCAGGATTTGTAGATAAGTGACAGAAACGGTATCTGGCACCTTTCTGCCTTTGAGTTGAAATTTTAAGTTTAATGGGGTTTGGGGTTTTTTTTTGGGGGGGGGAAAGATATTGCCACAAATTTTGCAGTATGCCTGCCTGTTGCCAGTTGCACTATAGTGGCTTTGTGTCATCTCCTCACAGATGAGAGTGGACAAGGGGGTGGAGGTGGGGCATTTTGCTCAGTTCTTTACCGTCTCTGGGGTGAAAGAGGGAGATCATTACTGCTGCCTATGTGAGAGTTTGGCTATTTATGTTAGGCTGAATATAGCATGTGGGCTGGGAAGCTTGTGGCTTGGGGGCAACACTGGATTACTGTGAACTTGAAGAGAAATAAAAAGAGCAAGAGGACAAATGCACCATGTTTGCAAACTGATGCTCCAGTGGAGCGGCTTGTCTGCAGCCCCTGCAGCCCAGCAGTGTAGCAAAACACAGTGGAGGAGAGGGGCTGCTTCAGTTTGGCCCTGCCCCACAGCAGTCACCTCCGGCCTTGGAGATGCTGGGGAGAGGGTACCAGCTTCGGCCTTGCCCACTGAAATTCTTCAGGCCAGATGTGGATCACCAGTGCTGGGCACTGCAGAGACCTGCATGTTGTTCTGCTTGTGAATATAAGAGCAGAGAGAAGTGTTTGAGACCTAAGGAGCCCTTGTGGGCTTACATAAAATTGAGTCTATTTTCCAGCTTTCTTAGGACACTGCCTTCTTGCTGTTCACAACTTCAGAGAGAAGTTCAAGCCAGCACCACGTGCAGCATTAGCATGGTGTCTCCTATCAGATATGTCCTTAATTCCTTGAGCTTTTCACGACTACTTTCATTTCCATATGCATTAGCAGACTTAGAAGGCATGTCTATCCAGGGAGTCAAAATATATATGGTGTATTAAAAAATTATTCAGTAATTTGGTGAGAATGACTTCTAATGGAGTAAAGCACAAACCTGCCCAAGGATCCTGTGAGTAAGAAGCAGACATTCAAAAAGCACCCCTGAAGTGAAGAGTCTTCCTCAGGACAAGGTGTGTATGGGCTTAAAAACTGACAGGAGCCATTCTTTATGTTATGGGGCAGTTTTCTGGAAGTACTTGGATAAACTTCCTAAAGATGAGAGCTCCTCTAGCTTTATTCCCCTCTGTAAATCTTTTCCTGTTAAACACATAGGTTCCTTTGTTTCCTTTTCTCCTTGTTATTCCTTCAGTACTGAATGCAGAAAGAAAGTATAACAAAACATTAAGCTAGCTATTAAGTTCAATTATGAATAATGAGTAGCCTGTCACACGCATTAAAAGCCTTGGTGGGGGAAGGGATGTAGGTGAGCGTTATCCTTCAGGCAGCTCTGCCTTCAGTTTGGTACCTGATCTCTGGGCAAGGTGCCTCTTGGTTACAGCGTGCCCTCCCCTGCAACAGGTACCCAGGTGGGCAGGTAGGGCTGTGGCGTAACTTAGGAAATTAAAAGCACGGTTTATGAGGCAGCGAGCAGGGAACAAGCCCATTTGTTTTCTTTTCCCCTCAAGGAAAAGTAGGCCATGAGTCAATACTTTTCTGAAGGCTGAAGAAACCTCACCCAGGAGCTGCAACAGCAGCAAAGCCCTACACAGTGCAAAGCTGCCTTCTGCCCCTCTGCCTCACTCTTGGCAAGGCACGGGGAAGCCTGAGCAGGATGCTGACACGCCATCAGTCTGCCACTGTGTGCAGAGCTCCCTGTGAAGGCCCTGAGTGGCTCTGCGGGCAGGGAGGAGCTCAGGACACCGTGAGCCAGCTTTTCAGGTTCACCCCGCCCTGGCAGCTCCTCACAAACCTGCTCTGTGCGTGAGGCACGGCAGCCCTGCGAGCATCCCACATTTGAGGCACCCTGCATTTGCAAATGAGTGTGTTTTCCAGGTGAAGGCCATGCAGGTCTGCCCAAACCTCTTCTGGGAACAGCTCCTTGCTGGGGACCCAGTCCCCTGCTGGGAAGGGTTGAAGCCATACAGTCATGCTGCTCCGGTTGTGGCCCCTCTTCTTAGCCCAGCGTCAGTGGCTGTACTGCTGTACCGCTGCTGGAGCACACAGAGGACCTGGCACTGTCTCAGAAGCTGCTCTCCTGCAGGACTTTGCAAGCAGCTAACAAGCTACTGCTGCTTCACCCCCAGTGCTTCTGCATGGCGGAGGGTCCTCACATACCCATTGGCAGCATCCCCACTGGAGAGCCTGGTGGTGGCAAGAGCAGGGCCACATGAGCTCCACGGCTGGTTTTTCCAGCTCGGTAAGGTGGCGGCACCAAAGTGTGTCAACAAAATTTGCCTCATAAAGAGGAGCCGTCTCCCTCTGCAGGCAAGTGTGAAACCGCTCCAGCTGCGGGAGGAAAGCCTGGAGGAGGACTGGCTCCTAGAAGACGGTGATTTTGACTCACCCCACCATTAAACGTCAATAAGCAAAGTGTGCCTTTGTGTCAGGAACATCTGTGATGTAGGGGCATATACATGGCTTAGCCCCAGCCAGTCACCCCTGACAGGGAGGCTCTGCCCATGGAGGTCTCCCTGGCGGTCCCCGTGACCCTTTTGATGCTCTTGAGATCACAGGCAATGCCTTTCTATGATGCTTCCACGTTGCAAATATTTCCCACAGAGGAAGCGGATGAGCCCAGGCTCTGTGGGCGCCCAGTCCCCAGCAGTGGCCCTTTGCCATCAAGACAGCTGGAGCAGGCAAGTCCCCCTGGGACCTCCTTCGAACTGTGTCCCAGCAGGCAGAGCTGCACAGCAAGTCTTGCTCCTCATACCTATAACCACCCTTGTTACTGGGAGCAGGGATTACCAGACTGGTGCAAAGGTCCCAACCCTGATTTGTTTGAGGAGGGAGATTTCCTTGGGGGAACAAGCTGAATAGAGCTTGGATTGAAGTATCAGTGGTGGGGATTACGTGGCTCACCAGCCATGTTTCAGGGGTGAGTCTTTCAGGCTGCTGGAGTTACAGGTCATCTCCAGGCAGTAGCTATTTGCTGCTGTGGTGTCAGCCAAGGGACAACATGAGGAGGGGTGTCCTCTGTGGCTGGCCTGCAGCAAAAGCCTGCTCAGTCACACTATGCAGGGACACTGCAACAGCAGCTCCTCAGCTGGTCTGGAAGTGAGAGAAATTCCACCTGCAAACAGGGCAAAACATTTGAACAGTGAGGTAATGAGTTCTTGGCAGGCTTTAGCAGATGTACCCACACTTTTGGTCTTGTAACTTAGATTTGGTGCCTTTCAGAGAGGAGACATGTGATATAAATTACAGCTCAAAACATGCATCACCTAGGCATACAAGGAGGTATGCAAATGGGCTATTCCTTGTTGGGGTTCAGGAAGGACCAGCTGCTCTGTGAGGCTCAGGGAGCCCCGTGTGATGACAAGGTGGAGGGGACAGCACATCCCTGCTGGGGCCAAACTGTGGGATGGGGGAAGCTCGTTCAGGGCTCTGACATTTGTAACAGCCCCTGCTCACTTGGACAGCCAAGTAGGCGAGTCTCAAAGGCAGTGCAGTGGAGAGCAGCTGTACTGCTGGGCACTCAGGCAAGGCATATCTCAAACAGCAGAAAGACCCGTGACCCTTCCCAAGCTGGAGCAGGGAGATGCTGCATGCCAAGGGTGCTGCTGCACACCCAGCCAGCCAGGAGCTGAGCACCATGCCTCTCAGGACAGCTGAGGGCAGCTGGTTGCTCCAAATAGCTGGCAGGTCTATTGGGATTCAAGAAGCTCCTTCCTCCTTCCCCCCATCCCTTCCCTGCTCCTCAGGAGCTGCTGCTAAGTAAAATGCATCTCACACTCCAGCTCAGCCTGTTTTGCTTCCCATCAGAAGCACCATCCCTGCTGCTATAAAAGACTCT